GGATAAGATGTCATCTCTTTATAAATTCAGGCTCTTTAGTCCATACTATAGTCGATATATTTATAGTCCGGCGGACAGAATTTCGAGCTATCAAAAAGCGAAGTTACTATCTACTTTTATAAACAAAACTTGGAGTTCTTTCCTGGCCAACCGAACGCAAATTAACAACATCGTATGCTAAAACATGCTCGATTGGTTCCGTTATTTGACAGCTCAATTGGTTCCCGAGATTCTCTTCTTTAGACTATAAATATAGCGACTATCGATAGTCGACTATAGTCGATAAGGCCAAAAACAAACAACAACAATACATACGCATTTTGTGTTTGTATTGCATGTACAGTCAACTCACTTACTCGATATTCAAGGGACCATCTACTTAACATTAGCCGAGTCGATGGTCTTCGCGAAAAACGATGATTGATGAATTGCCACCTGAAAAACAATCATGCTCGATTGGCTCCCGTCATTGTATCAGCCAGACTATGAATATAGTGACCATAGTTATCAGCCACTGCCCACAATATGAGGGTCCCGTGAATGCTACTACATGTCAGGCAGCATCAGAGAAGCACTCAGCGACGACCCGGCCAAGACTGCGGCACTGATGGGCTTCCTTTGTGAGGCTGGCCTCTTTCACCGAATCTAATGTCCTCACCTTAAACCCTGACCACCGCAACTCCAATTGATTCACTTTATTTCCAAAAATTACGCTGCTTGACCGCAACGAAACAAGATCTTTCACAAAACATCACAATGACTTCCGCTACCCACAATGACCACGATTTGAAACATGAATATACAACTCGTACATATAACATGCCAATCAAATTACAGCAACAACTCTCGAATATCTGACAGAAGGACGCGATTAAGGAAAACTACTAGGCACCAAGATGACTACAACTTTGACAGCAAACAAACTTTTCATACTATGTAAAAGAACCACTCTGTATTAAGTGGACCCCCCTCTGGGGCTTCACTCTTTTTTTTTTAGACCCCCTACAGCAAACTCTGTAATTTGGGGAGTTCCCTTCTGGAACTCCCAACCTTTCTAACTAGGGAAACCTCTTTCTAAGGTTTTCAGACACGAACCAGCCCACGACTGAAAGTCTCTTTAATAAAGATATCTAATCTAATCCAATCCGACTTCGTTTTTTAACTAAATGCATTAAAATTTTACTTCATTGAATTCCGGTTGTTTAAGAATTTAAGAAGAGATCAGGAAAATATGTAAAAGTACATTTTAGCATGATTCAAACAAAATTCATGGGAAATGATCAGGAAATTTTTAAGATATTTCAAGCAAGGTTGCAAATGCTCTTTCCGATTGAAAACGAAGGGGGTGACTCTATCTACGATGCAAACAGATTTTGTTTTGCACACTGAGTAGATAGAAAGACGATTCTGAAGATTTCCTGCAAAAAGATTATGTACGATGCAAGTAGATGCGAGAAATAAAAGAAGATTTTTCGTAGATTGATTCGCTAGTGTGAAATTTTTCGAGCATCTAGAATTACGATTTAGGCTGTGAACCAAATGCCGAGTTAAATTTAACTCGTGGTTAAAAGTGACATTTCGAAAGTTATTTTCTATGTTCGAAAATCCCCGTACTGTCGATCGACCAGTTTTCGAGCCACGGTTGTCAAAATTTAACTTCTTGTCTGTCAGAAATAACCATGCTCGGATAGCAGGGTTAATCGATAACTTTTCATCTGTCAAATTTTAACCAAAAGTTAAAATAATCCACCAAATGGTTCAGAGCCTTAGATGTGACGCCCCCTTGTTGGCGCGTTCACGCCAGCGCGCCGCTACTGTAGCTTGGGTTTGACCATCGCGTACATCATCGCAACCGCCCAATACGCACCGGTCTTGACAGTTCGTCGTATCACTGTAGTAGTGTTGAGTCAGCAGTACATGGGAGAGTGGGAGAGTAGCTGTATTGTTGGAAAGATAGATAGAAAAATATTGAATAGTGAACAAGTACACAAGTGAATTGTAAAAGTTTCTCTAAGATCGTGCCGATTGCCTTTGAAATTGTGCTAATATTAATATTAAAAGTGATATTATCACCTAATTGGTAACGTACATGAAATTTAAAATAGTTCTATCAGTTAAAATCAAATTGATTATCCTAGTGTTTTGCTACTTAGTTTGCTACAGTCAAGATCGGAAATTCCTAACCCTGAATTTGCATGCAAGCTGGATTTTATCATTAAAAGGTAATTCCTACTTAACTAATACTTAAAATAGTTAAAATGCTTAAACTTAAATGCTTATAGTACGGACTAGTGCGAGCAGGGATTATTAGTACGGATGAGTAGTACGTGCAGGAGATTATTTCGAGTCGAACGAAAAGGTATTCAAGGAATCCGCACAACGGGACTAAACGTAAGTGGTCAAAATCTTTAGCTAATTGTTATGAAAGAAATTAAGCAATCCACCACCATGAAAAAATCTAATTCTGAATAATTACAATAATTACAGGAAAATAATAATATTCCAAATACGAAAACGTAAACCCCAATTCTCGGTTGTTTTCATTCGATATTATTATTACGGAAATCATCCCGACCCCCAATCTGTTGGCAATTTCCAACATCCCCTCGATTAAAAACATGTTTTTCGAAATAATTAAATCAAAAGATGATACCATGTTTTACTAATAAGTTACAAGAAGAGGTTGCAAAGTATGTGTTTGACGCATAAAACCTGTAAATGTTGTTATCTAAGAGTCATAATCAGCAATTTTATTAGTGCTGAGTCAGTGAGTGGGTGATAATTGATAAAATTTACAGGTTTCATACGTGTAAAACACAAACTTTGTATGCTCTTCTTGCATCTTGCATATTTAAAAAAACGGATGTCGTCATTTCAATGCTAACGAATATCGAAAATTTGTACAAGACCGAAATATTCCGATTTTCCCAAGTCCTACAACTCTACTTTTTGTTTGGCTTTTTGGAGCTGATCGTTTTTCTCATCCATTTTAGTAGCTTCACGTTTCAGCTTGCTGTACTGCTCCGCCATCGCCTGGAACGTTTTTCCGACAATGTACACCTCGCCAGCAAAGCAAATGAACTGGCTGGATTTATTGAAGATCGTGCCCGCATTTGAAAGCCTAATCTTACTCTAAATGAAGGTTACAAAACAAAAACCGGAAATTTCGGAACGTTTTAGACAAGAAAGCCTCACTCTGCCAACCATGTCATGTCACTTTTATCCAGTTTGCTTGTATTATTACCTTTTTATTTGGATTTTTCTTATTGTTTTCTGATGTCCTTTCTATCAAACTATATGTACAAATTAATACCTATTCACTCATATTAGGACTCTTGACAGGGAGAGTGTTTGTGTTTCTGTTTTTTATTGTTTTTGTTTTGTTTTTTTATGTTTGCTGGATTTCCGTTCCTTTTGCTATTTTTGGGATGACATTTGTGTGTGTGTGTGTGTGTAGAAGTATGAGTGCGGGTAGTTATCTGAATTCAGTTATAGTTTGCCTGCATTGGTTTTATATTGTTCACTACTGTTTCTCTTTTCATGGTATACCATTCTGTTGAAAATTGCAATCGCGTGTTTTGCGTGTGTAAATTTACTTGTTTGTTTTTTTTTCAATATAATATTACAAGTTTCCAAAATAGATTGGTTGTTTATTTTTTACTGATTTTAACTTATTTATGTTCCTCCATTTGTTTACTAGCTTACATTTCTAACAAGAGAATTTGTCATTTGTTACCAAGTATCCTTAACAAGATGTGTGTGTGTGTGTGTGTGTGTGTGTGTGTGTGTGTGTGTATAGGTGTGTCGAAAGAAGAACATGTTTAATAGTTTTGTAAGTGATTGGACCAGAGCGGAAAAATCGGGTGAAAAGAAGATCGGGAAAAATTCGGTAGTGAGAGACTTTGTTCAAATATAAAACCGGTGTACGGCGGAGTTTGTGAAACTGGAAACGATTGCTTATACGTTAATGGCGAAGACTTGTTTATGGAGAGAGTAGCAGCAAAACACAACTTTTGAACACAAGCCTTATTAGGACAAAGTTTTGCTTCACAGTGTTCTAAACTACATGAGAAATATAATTATAAAAAAAAACACGAAATTATAACACTAACCCCCTCCCCCGGCATGGCTAGGATACGTTCGTTGCGGGGTTCTTCTACTGAAAACTATTTGGGTGTGCTGCCTTTCGTAGTCGAAGCGGAAGAATCTTATCTCTGGGCGCGGGTTTTTCTGCACATGTGTTTACATTGCGCTGCTAGGTGCTAATAACCAATTGTTAAAAACTACTCAAATTGTTTATTTGATTCTTGGTATATCTTTTCTTGACAATCTCAATAGCCTCTAGAATTGATTGTGATCGGCGAGTGAAATTCAAAAGAACAATTTACTAGCACACAGGATAATACAGATTGGGAATACTTTCTTCTGCTGGTGCCGTCAGAATAGGAAGGACGAAGGTTTGCTAGTAGCACTATAATGCTTTCCTTTGCTTCTGGTATCGGGAAGATTTCTGTTATTTTCTCGAGGGGACACAACCAACGATGTTATAGTAGGTTCATTTGGTTTCACCGAGTTCCTCAAAATAGTGTATAAGATTATCGATTAATGATATCCTTTCTAGGAGAGAACATGATTTGCTTTACAAGTATGAAAATCTAGTCGATTGAGTGTATTTTCGCGTAGTGAATGAGTTATTATCATAAATTTGTAGAATTATATTTAAACTCCTAAAAAAAAGCACGGAACCCTCTCGCTTCGTCAACTTTGTTTAACTTGTTGGTGGTAACCTTATGCTCGTTTGCACTTCTTTTCTAGATTTGTGTCACTTGGCTTGCTTCCATTAGTAGGATTACCTGCCTTTGTATATTTTTAAAAGTATTTCCATTTTGTTTTTTTATTTGCATTTATTTTATACACTCATTTAATGGTATGTACTACGACAATCATTCCTATAAATAAGGTTCTTACCAACTGTCCCCCGTTAGTTATTCAAACAAACATTCAGGTAAATAATGTCAGAAAATGTCATTGACATTTTTGCTACAAGCGGTTTGTTCACCGCCACTACTAGTACTACAATTTTGTTTCAGTGTCCAATTTCCTAACCTTAATTTGTCTTTTAGAAAAATTTGTTATAACCAATTAGCAACAAATGAGCTTTTAAGACAAAATAGTACACATTAAACATAGGAAGCATGACAACAAAATCCGTAGCTATTACGCGAAATAGTTGAAGATCATCGCGATGGTAAAATCATAAGGATGCTTTTAAATAACTTACACTTATTGTACGAAATATTTAACCCCCTTCGTTCTATTAAGTTAGTAGGTATTGTTCAATTTATGTCTACCCACTCTTGTGTTCTTTAGTTTCACTTCAGGTTTTCTTTCTCGACGATTTCGACGCTCGCTATACCGACAGTAGGATGTGACTTTAGAATAAAACAAATGAATATTTGTAAGATTTTAGAAGTCTCACAGCGCACCATAAAATATTACTTAAATTCTGCAAAGAGAGATGGAGAAAATTTGACAATTAATTTTATTATTCAATTGATTTATGGACATATTTAATACATTGTTTGCATTACTGAACACAAGATGAAATTTATGGAAATCCTAGAACGCCTAGGGTGCGGCGCATCACTCGCGTCAATTCCGAGGCCCCATCACTGCAGGAGATTGAAACAGTTATCCGAAGCATGAAATCCAACAAGGCTCCAGGGGTCGATCGCATATCAGCAGAGATGCTCAAAGCTGACCCCATGCTATCCGCACAAATGTTGCATCAACTATTCTGTAATATCTGGGAAACCGCGACTTTTCCGGCCGACTGGATGCAGGGCATCTGAGTGAAGGTCCCAAAAAAGGGGGATCTGACTGTGTGCGACATTTGGCGAAGCATCATGTTACTGTGTATTGTTCTTAAAGTTCTGTGCAAAGTTATCCTAAATCGGATACAGGAGAAGATCGACGCGACTCTCCGACGGCAGCAGGCAGGATTCCGTGCCGGAAGATCTTGTGTGGAACATATTGTCACGCTCCGCATCATCCTGGAGCAGGTCAATGAATTCCAAGAGTTCCTTTATTTGGTATTCATTGACTACGAACAAGCTTTCGACCGTCTCAATCACGAGAATCTGTGGGGCGCCCTGAGACGCAGGGAGTCCAGGATAAAATCGTCAACCTCATCGAAGCGCTGCATGAGGCTTTCACGTGCAGAGTTCTGCATAACGGAGCCTTGTCCGACCCTATCCGGGTAGTCGCTGGTGTGAGGATGTATACTATCACCGTTACTGTTTCTCATCGTAATCGACGAGATCATGGTAGGTGCAATTGACCGTGTACCGAACCGTGGGCTTTGGCAGCCTATCACCATGGAGTCTCACCATCAACGTCAACAAGACCAAATCGTTGGATATCAACACGGGCAACCCTTCCAACTTTACGGTAGCGGGGCAAGCAGTGGAGAAGGTCGAAAGTTTCCAATATCTTGGCAGCCAAATAGCGTCGGACGGCGAGACCAAGAGCGACATAGGTGCACGAATCAAGAAGGCTAGGGCTGCCTTTGCGAGTTTACGAAACGTATGGAGATCCAACCGGATAAGTCAACGCACCAACATCCGAATTTTCAACTCGAACGTGAAATCTGTGTTGTTATACGCCAGCGAGACGTGGTGTGTATCAGCGGAGAACACTCAAAAGCTGCTGGTCTTCATCAACCGATGCCTGCGGTATATAATTCGTGCCTGGTGGCCTCACAACTGGATCTCGAATGCCGAGCTCCATCGTCGATGTCATCAGAAGCCGATAGCAACAGAAATTCGAGAGCGAAAGTGGAGGTGGGTCGGCCACACACTTCGACGGGGCGGAAACGAAATCTGCAAGCAAGCGCTGGATTGGAATCCGACAGGACATCGCAGTAGAGGCACACCCAGAGGCTCATGGCGGCGGAGCCTCAATAAGGAAATTAAGCAAGTCGATAGGAATCTGACCTGGGCCCAGGTCAAGGCAAAAGCGAGCAGCCGCCCAGGATGGAAGTCTTTCACGTTGGCCCTTTGCACCGCTGGTGGTGCACAGGACCCTTAAGTAAGTAAGTAAGAACACGATGCCTCCGGTAAAATATGAAACGGCATATTGACAATGTTTGAAAAATCACTGCTCAGCAATGTATCGACAGGTTTGAAATCTATTGATACTGAATAAAACTTTAAAGTATGAAGTGATAAGAGATGAACTAGCCATATGGCTAAAAATCTCTACAATAAAGAAAAATAAAAAAAAAATAAAGTATGAAGTTTCAAATGACGTCAGTAGATTTGAAATTCGTGAATAAATGGCTGAGCTATTATTTTTTAAATATTGCAAGTTTGCCGTTACACATTTTACCGGATGCTTCGTGTTCTGAGCGTTAATTAGCTCACTACTTAACTAGCCTATTGGCAAATGAAATAAATTAGCGTACCCCATTCTAGTCGAAATCCTAGTTGATTAGGCTATGAAAGTTTGATAAATAAAATGAGGGGTTCGTGGATTTTGCTATGTTTCGAGGAGTGCATCGATTAGCTTGGCACCGAAGATAGTACCAGAGCTGAGCCAAAAAGTTGAGTACGTTTCTTTGGGACCTATTAGTCTTAGAGTTACCTCTATGCTAGGCTGAAAGCCTTTATAACTAACATTATAACTAACCGTTAATCTTTATAACTAACCGCCAAAAAAACAACTTTAAAATTCGACAGCACATTTTCATAAGGACCTAAGTTGCAAACGTAAACACTGATTTCTACCGTAAATTCATCGCAAATCATTATCTATCAGCGAAAGCTATCAACGACAGGGTGTCTACTCATTTTGCCACATAAAATTCTCTGAGTTTTCCAGGCTTCATTTTGTATTATAGCGAAGACAACAAATCAAGAAGACTGGCAACTCTTCCATTTTCTTATACGAACGCTATGAGACAGGTACAATCGCGTCATCTGTCGCTCAAAGGTAAATGCTTCGAACGAATTTGATAGCTAAGACTACATCCTCAGAAGAAGGGTTTGTGTATTTGCTCATTTTTTATGCGTTGCTTCCACCTTCACTCAAGCGCAGCGCCATTGTATCTGTCGCTAGGATTCTGGCAAAGTTGCCAGTCTTCTTGATTTGTTGTCTTCGATTATAGGTAGTTATTGTAGTCGTGACTTGTACGGAGATGAGATTTGAACTCGTGACTTTGGCGTGAGTCCTATGGATGTTAACTGCTAGTCCAGGTTTTTCCAGGACTTCAACTGAAGATTTTAAGGTTTTTAAAGAAAATGTTGTTTAAATGATAAAAATAAGCTATTTTGGGTAAAACTCAGAACACAAAAATCCAAGAGAAGTCTATAAAGAGTTTCAAGAAAATTCCAAGATAATTCCAAGAAATTCTCATGAGGGTATTTTGAGATGCATTCTGAGGTGAAATCCAAGGAATTGCATTAAGTCGCATATCGAGAAGTCGAGGAATATTCCAAGCGAATTCTAAATTATCCAAATTATCGCGAGAATTATTTAGAATACGAAGATGAATTAAGAGTAAATCTCAAGAGTTTTCTCGAAGGAACTCCTAAAGTGTTCTGCACAGAATTCCGAGACTGTTAAGGAGAAAAATTCTATAGAGTACCGGACAGAATCATAAGCTTATTGAAGGAAATCCTGAAATTAAAAGTAATTCTGAAAGATCCTAAGCAAATCCGTGAAAAAATAATCAAGATATGCAGAGATGAGATTCTTTAAAAAAAAAATAGCAATAGCCTCCCTTAGCTCAGTCGGTAAAGGCGCAGCTACAAAGCAAGACCATGCTGGAGGTGGCTGGGTTCGATTCCCGGTCCGGTCTAGGAATTTTTCTGGTTGGAAAATTTCTCGACTTCCCTGGGCATAGAGTATGATTGTACTTGCCACACAATTATACTAATGCAGAAATGGTACAGGCATCGAAAGCTCTCAATTAATAACTGTGGAAGTGCATCTAGAACACTAAGTTGAGAGCACGCAATAAGCTAATATGCGATATGCAATAAGCTTGAAATGCGAAGAAGAAGAAGAAGAAGAAGAAGAAGAAGAAGAAGAAGAAGAAGAAATTCAAACACTGAGGAGTTTAACATCCAGGATTAACAAAAATTCTTAATATTCTGGGGCTTTGATTGAGAGCAAATTTAAAAATCCTGGTCTTAGAAAACAGTTAGATAATGGTGCTAGAAATTTCAGATAAGTTTAACACCAAGATATGGCTCTAATGTTGGCCTATGAATCTAAGATTGGGCCCATCGCTAAAAATCTGCTATTTATCAATTTTATCAATTTTGTCATTGGGACGGTACTAATGGATATTTTTGGTCTCTATTGAAAATTTAGTCGATTGTCGAATTTCTGTATGGGCCCAAATTAGGGGCATTTAGGCCGACATTACATCCATTTCCCCTATGTGAGAAAAAGCCTCTATGGACGTGAGAAATGTAGACATTTTCTGCAATTTGTGACATGAAAAGTTTTTAACGTTCCTAATTATCAAAAATATTCCTGTGCCAGACTCTGGAACATTTCTAATTTAGACTAAAAATGTATATCAACAGAATTCGATTGTTATAGGTACAACGGAATACTGTAAGGTTCCAATCCAATTCCCGGTTCGCACGGCAGGGTGTCTACTTATTTGGTAAAGAGAATTCCCTGAGTTTTTCAAGTTTTTCCAGGACTTCATCGTCTTAGAATCATCTCAGAATTAGAACACTCTCTGATATTTTCATTTGCATCATAAGGCTTGTACTGGAAAAAAATGCACTATTTTTATCCGTGTGTAACTTTTTTATCCGTGGGTGAAAATTGATGAAAGTCTGGGTATAACTAGTTTGGAGTGAATTGTTTACATGTGCAAAATTTCATACCAATCGGTTCAGTGATTATTGAGATGTCATCGAAACAAGAAGAAAATCGTCGGAGAATTTTGCGCGCCGTCATGGAAAATCCGACTGCGACCATGAGATGGATCGGAAGACAACTGGGAATCACCCATACAACTGTGTCTCGGGTGGTAAAATCGTTTAAGGAGTCCCAGACGACCGAGCGGCGGGCTGGAAGTGGAAGAAAATCGAAGACAGCTGACCCTGTGAAGGCCCGGAAGGTGTTGGATTATTTCAAGCGTAATCCGAACCTTTCGATTTGCGACGCGGCTCTGAAGGCAAAGTGTTCCGCCTGGTTCGTTCAACAAACCATGAAACGAGCTGGGATTCGTGTATTCAAGATCCGGAAGGCACCGAACCGGCGTGATCAACAAAACACGGCGGCCAAATCCCGTGCAAGGAAGCTGTATCGAGAGTGGTTAACGAAACCGATGTGTGAGGTTATGGGTGACGAAACCTACATTAAGGCAGACGCAAAGCAGATACCGGGGCTGGAGTTCTACGTTGCCAAATCACGGTTTGATGTTCCGGAAGACATAAGGAAGAAGAAAGTGGACAAATTCGTCAAAAAATACTTGCTCTG